CACAGATGTCAGCCCCTCCTACACAGGTGTCAGCCCCTCCCCACACAGGTGTCAGTCCCTCCCACACAGATGTCAGCCCCTCTGACACAGATGTCACTGCACTCATGTGCCAGCCAACAGGTTATTTCAGGCAAGAAGATGAGAAGAAAACACTGGCAAAATGGAAAAATACTCTTGGCATAATAGCAGAAATATAACATTCTGTTACATATTTGTAATTGCAAATATGTAAATTTGTAAAGATCAACTAGGTCTAGGGAAGAGAAGTAGGTGCCACAGCAAATAGAAATGTGATTTGCAGAGATGGGGAGATTGTGGACAGTTTTGTCTTTGATTTTGTGGGTATCTTTAATGTTGTTTTTGCAGTCAATTTTAGACAATAGAAAGGCAGTCAGAGCCATGACGTGGCAGGCTGTGGATCTCCTCCTCCTCATGAGCCCGTTCTTGGGGAGCCCTGCGTATCCCTGAAGTTGCTTTTGGGGTGTGGATACCTGGCTGTGGCCGCATGGGGATGGGGAACAGGTTTCTGTATAACTTAGTATGTCCAATTTGAGACTGTTGTGGTCATCAGCACCTACCAAAGTGAAATGTTCTGAAATTAGTTTTGACTTTGAAATGAGGTATCCAACAGATAAGACTTTATTTTTTTTATTTTTTTATTTTTTTGGTTTATGCAACTTTATTGAAGAAAAATAAATCAATTACTAGCAGAGCTATTAGTTGATCACTCATCCATTGACAACTTGCATCATTTATTCAGTGCTATATTAAACAGTGTATTGGAAGATAGATTAACTAATAGCTCCAAGCCTCCTAACAATTTAAATGAAAATTACAAAATGTTTGAGACCCTATTTTGGAATACAAAGGGTGTTTGACTTCCAATTTCCATTCTCTGTAGAACAAGAACAGGTCATTCCTTTATTGACATGCATAAAATACATCACATTTTCTGTTCTGCTGATGCTATAAATTCAATACCAATTCTCCAGCCACACCAGTTATGAGCATAAAGTATATCATGTAACCTCAAATCTCTAACAGTGGAAAGCAAACAAGAATGGATGCTGCCTGAATAATGTTGTTTCCTTTGATGTGACAACTGAGCCTCCGTCTCCCTCCCCCTCAGGTGATTTCTTAAGCATGTTAGAGCAGTGAGGAATGGTTTTAGTCTCATAACCAAATTAGAGTTAGACATTGGCCACATAATACACATGCTCCATTTTTTAAAATATTGAGTCTTAGGCAACTGTTCTCTTGTAACTACTTTACAGTTTCTAAAAGCACTTATTGTCCAAAGCTGGAAGAACTTAAGTCTTCTCTGATGAGCATGTGAATGAATGGAGGGAGGTAAACAAAAAATAAAATTAAAAAAGATGAGGTCTGATAGGGGAGCAGCCAGATAAGAAAATCAAAAAAGGAACAGTAATTTGAAGTTTATTCCAGCTATAATGCAGGTTATTCTGACTTTAAGGTAGCATCACATGGCATACTTCTGAGTCCATTCCCGAGATATTCTGTTGTACTTATCTCTGTCTTATAGATCTGTGCAATCTCTGGCACTAGGGGGTCATCTGGGTTTGGATCACATAACAGTGAACAAATGGATAAAAGAACTTTAGAAGTAGTTAAAGCAGGAGACCACTGTGATCTTAGAATATCGAGACAAATGCTGCCATTACTGTTAATATTTGGACGATAAATTCTTGTTGTAAATGCAACCTTAAGTGGTTTGAAGGGGTAGTCTGTAGGAAAATGAATTGTCAAAAAGAGTACACCACCTTGATATGGGCTGTCATTAGGTCCCATAATTGTGGCTTGGCAATGAAACATATTATCCCCAACTGGACCTGCAGAACATTGTGCTGGAGGGTCACAGGCCAAATCACTAAGTTCCTTATTAATCCATTTTAGCGCCATAGTCTGTGCTTTTCGTCTGGCTCCTCACTATCCCGGTGTGTGCTCAAAGGTCAGACCAAAACTCTTGATTATCCGGGTGACGGGGAAGGATTGTCTTGTCTCACACCGGCTCTGCCAGACACAGGAGCAGAGGGGCCAGGGCCTCCCTCAAGCTGCGGCCTCGGCCTCCTCCCTGCACGGCAGCTGGTGCCTCCCTGGCCCTACCAAGACTTTATTTTAAAGATGGGAGGAAATCATTTTTATTGGTGTGTTTATCATGCTGAAATCAAACGGGGCAGCCCCATAGCACAGGGAGTGAGAAGGCTGCAGTTCTGGTGTTCGGATGGACTCAGCGGCCCATCAGGGAAATAATTTATCTATTGTCTCGGCTTTTCTTGGGATTAAGGAGCTATCCTCCTTTCTGCCTGGCTGAGAATTTTGAGTTTAAGCTCTGAAAAGGCAGAGAACGCGGTAGATGATGCCATTTCCTGTTTCACCTTAAGGTGTCAGTGCTGTCTGCAGTCTGATGTTCAAGGACCCTGTAGGGCTTGTCATGAGAAAGTTCCAGTTTTTGTCTCTGTCACTGGTTTCAGTTGTTCTGGAGAACCACGTGGTGACTGATGAGGATGAGCCTGCTCTAAAGCGCCAGCGGCTGGAGATCAACTGCCAGGATCCCTCCATAAAGGTAGGCTTAGCGGTCTCAGGCTGTGTGGGCATCCTCAGTTTCTAGGCTGTTGGGACAAGTCATATGAAGGGGGTGGCTTAAAACAAAAATTTACTCTCTCTTGGTTCTGGAGACCAGAGGTTTGAAATCAAGGTGATGGCAGGGCAGTGCTCCCCGCAAAGGTCCTGGAGGAGGGTCCTTCCTGTCCCTCCAGCCTTTGTGGCTGTGGCGCTCTAGGCCCTGTCTCATTCTCTCTCTTTTTTTCCCTTCCTCTTTCCCTACCCACAGATGGGGTCTGTCTCTGTCAACCAGGCTGGAGTGTAGTGGTGCGCTCACAGCTCAATACAGCCTTGAGCTCCTGAGCTCAGGCAAACTTGCTTTAGCCTCCCAGAGTGGTGGGGCTGCAGGAGTGAGCCCTGGGCCCAGCCTCCCTTCTCTTGTGAGGACTTGCAGTTGGACTCAGGGCCCACCCTCCCTGGGGATGATCCATTGACTTATTTATATCTCCAAACACCCCTTTCCCCAATAAGGCCACATTTATAAGTTCTAGGCTGGGTTAGGATGTGGATACGTCATTTCTGGGAATCACCTGTCCATTTACTATGTAAGAGCATAATCCCTTTGAAGAGAATGAAGAATAAACATGGTTTAGATTGCATTTGCCGCCGACAGTGAGGCCCCTTCTGGTTCCCCCAGAACCTTTGCAGGCCTGTTTGGCACAGCAGGAAAACAAAGTTACTGTGGCTGTTTTCCGCTAGTGACAATTTCCTAGACGGGGTTCTTGGAGAGCACTCAGTCAGTTACTTCTGCACCTTGGCTTTTGCTTGTTTGATTGCAGTGTCTGCAGAGGCGTAGAGCTAAACATTAGCACGTGCAGAAGTCCGTGAGAGTAACACAAATGAAAACCAAAGTCCTTCTCATGTAATGCCTCTGTTTATACAGACTGTCTGCTTAGAAATGTTCGATTCATTTTGTTAACAGAGAGAAGCCATGTGAACATGCATGGGTGACTTGAAACTATTTTCTCACTAAAATTCCTATTTCAGACCAAAGGATAGATGGGCAGTGGTTGCATTAGTTAACAGCGCATTATCATATCTTGAAATGCAGTTATAGTTTTGTCACACAAGATGGGCATTTGTGATAAACAGCACAGAAATGTAGAAAGGGGAAATCGAAGTGGCCTGCCCATCCCCAGCCCACAGTGGGTAGGTTTGGGCTTTGGCCTGAACCCTGGTGTACATGGTTTAAAAAGATTTACTCCTAACTCTCTTCTTCATTATTAATTTCTTTGGTGAGTTGTTTTTTATTAATGTATAGCAGTGATTTTCACCTTCAATAAAGGTGGCCTTATTGGGAAAAGTGTGTTTGGAGATGTAAATAAGTCAGTGGGTCGTCCCGAATGAGGGCAGGCCCTGAGTCCAACGGCAAGTTGAACTCAGGCAGGATTATTTCTGATTCAGAATTAAAATAATATTGCTTATGGCATTTAAAGAATTCAAGAGCCAAATGAAATGATGTTTTCAAGTTATAAAAAAAATTCAGGCTTCTACAGGTGAGCATGTCTGGCTGCAGCGTGGCCCTTGACTTTCTGCAGACCAGCTGAGGGTGTGAGTCCACTGACCACGGGGCATGTGCCTTCTGATGGAGAGTAGTTAGCCCCCCCTTTGTGTGTTCCTCTCCCAGGAAAGGCCTGGCCAGGAGGAAGGGTTGCCTGCGGCCAGCATGGGGTGTTGGCAGAGTGTGGGTTTCCTTTGCCACCGTGCAGCCCCTCTGCTCTGTTCACCAGGAAGGCAGGCAGACACGTATAAGCCCCTCTCGAGGCCAGCTCAGCCTGCTGAGTGCGCCAGAAGAGCATTTCCTTTGACACCGAGGTTGTGATGCCGACTCTGTGGCAGGGTGCCTGGCATTGCCACAGTCCGGGTGTTCTGTGCCTCCCTAACCATCAGGAGGGCCAGCTCATGGTGGCTCCTGTGGGCCACATTCGATTTCCTGGGCCTGCCTACTTCCTTCTGATGTGTCCATCTTGGGCATTGTACTCTTAGGTCAAGGGCCAAGAAGGAGACACATATCCATGCTGTCTTCAGATACTGACCCTAGAGTCAGGCTGGGCTTCCCTACTGCCTAGCAGGGCAGGAGGTGCCTCCCTGAGAGGGTGCCTCTGTCTGCTGGTGGGACCCACAACACTGATCCCTGCATGTGGCAGGAAGCAGGGAGGGGAGCAGAGCCCTGGCCTGCAAGCTTATGGCTCAGCCTGCTCCTGGGGCCTGTGCTGAGCCCTGCGCACCACTCTCCACTGTCTGGTTACTGGGGTCAGGACCTCGGACCCACTCAGCGAGTCACCAGATGTGACGCCGCTCACCGCTAGGTGGCGGACTTGCTTTTTAGGAGCTCTGGGGACCCGGTGGTGGAGGCTGGGAACACTTGCGGGTGGTCTGTGATGAGAGCTGTGTGGCTGGTGCGGGATTCAGGCTTTTTTGCTGTTGAGTGTGATCTGTTTTCATTGTTAGAAGGATTTGACCAGTTCTTTGTGTAAATTTACTGATTAATATGCTATCACATGGAAGATGATGTAAGTTATTTATTCCATGGACTTAACTAAAAATCACACCTGCATACAGGTAAAACCTCGATTAAGGACTAGTCTCACTCTCAGTACAAAATGTGACTTGTATTTAAACTGTGAACTTGTTTATTCAGATGTTTCTGGCTTATAACTAAAGAGCTAGTCACATGTAAATGTTGTTCTGTTGGAGTAAATACAACTAAATTAGGCAGTAGCTGGAGCTCCAGACATCCCTCCTAAAGTGCTCCTTGTTTTCACTTCCAGTCATTCCTATATTCCATCAACCAGACGATCTGCTTGCGGCTGGATAGCATTGAGGCCAAGCTACAGGCTCTGGAAGCTACTTGTAAATCATTAGAAGAGAAGCTGGATCTGGTCACAAATAAGCAGCACAGCCCCATCCAGGTCCCCATGGTGGCAGGCTCCCCTCTCGGCGCAACCCAGACGTGCAACAAAGTGCGATGGTAAGGACAGAGCGGGCAGTGGTGCTGTCCCTGCATCCGCCCGCCGGCCCCCCAGTCCCTCAGCCCGCTGTGACACCAGGGCCTTGGCTCGGCTGTCTCAGGGTGCTGGCTTTACTGAGACCGGAACTGAACATGTGACGTGCTGCCAGCACAACGTGGAGTCGTTCTCACGTTTTCCTTGATGTGAACCAGACCCAGGCATCTTTTCTTTGGAACTAACCACCAGATCTGTGAAGATGCCCTTCTGCTGCTTTTCTCTCTCCTACTCTCTGTCTAGCCCTTAGGTATATATTTTCTGCATATGTGGTGTTTATGAATTGCACTTGAGTGTATCAAACTTTCCATTCAAGTCTGCAGTTTTTATTGTGCTCATTTTTTTAGCATCCAGGCTTAGGTGTGCAGCAGTCTCTGTGTGGTTTGAGTGGGAACTTGACCAGCTCACGCGTTGCTTATCTGAGGCACCGTGTTGGCTCCTCTAGCCCCTGGGTCAGCTGAAGCACAGGCCGGCCGCAGTCACCTTCGGTCCTCCTGGCCTTCTTGCCTTCCCCACAACCGGCCCTGGAGAAGCCCTGCTTGTGGCAGTGGACGTGCGGGCCTTTGTGTTTGCTGAGAATCTGGAGCCTTTTCACTGAGGCTCTCGGCTGACTGCTGCCTCCTGCCCTGCGTGTCTGTGGGAGTGAGGGTGGTGGGCAGCAGGAGACAGGGAGTGGGAGCCACAGCATGCCTGGAGGGGCCGCTGTGGCCTGGCCACCGCCATCTGAGGAAGCTGCTGGGTGCTACCTGCCTGTTGTGCTGGTGGCTGGGGGCTTTGTGGACTTTACAGGAGAATACGGAAGGGGGAGGAGGGTTCCTTTGCTGGTTGGTGTGGGAATGTTCACCAGCATGACCCAATATTGTGGTGACCACTTGTCCTAGTTTGTCTGGGACAGCCAGGTAATGCCTGCTGTGCTGATGTGATCACAGGCGCTTTCTTTAACTCTCCGAAGTTCCCAGGCCCCTCCTGAGGCTCAACCTGGCAGTGTTGAAATCCGGCAGGGCACTTGGTTCCCAGCAGGGAGGTGGGCTGTTCATGGTGCTTCCCGGGACAGCCTTGTGCTGTGTTCATATGGTCAGCAGTACATCCCCCTCAGCAAGCATGTGGGGTCCTGTCTGTGTGTGTTCACGTGGTCGGCAGTGGCCTTCCATAGGCGTGTGGGGTCCTGTCTGTGTGTGTTCACGTGGTTGGCAGTGGCCTTCCATAGGCGTGTGGGGTCCTGTCTGTGTGTGTTCATGTGGTCAGCAAGGCCTTCCATAGGCGTGTGGGGTCCTGTCTGTGTGTGTTCACGTGGTCAGCAGTGGCCTTCCATAGGCGTGTGGGCATCCTGCTCTCTGTGCAGGAGCCCGTTAGGCTCTCAGCAGTGTGCGCAAACCTGTCAGACCCATTGCCTTTTTATTTATTTATTTATTTTAGGTAGTTTTGTTTTTTGGCAGTGCCCCTTTAAAATTAACTAATAATAACTTAAAATTATTAATAGACTGCCCCACTGCCTTGTAGTAGAGAAGTCTGTAGTGAGGTCATGGGACGCAAACCCATGATATGTAGGAGGTTGCCAGGGATGAGCCAGGTGCCCCTGGTGCCCAGGAGGGCATCACACTGGGGATCCAGATGCCAGCTGGTGACGGGCTATTACACAGAGGTGCATGATTCCTAAGGAGGTTTCAAATAAAGTCCTGCCCCTGCCCCCAGCTCTGCATGCCTGACCCTTCCTGCCCCTCCCACCCTCCCCAGCTCTGTAGCCTGAGGATGGCTGCCTGTCATTTGTCACTTCTGCACTTGTTCTAGACAGGCCACCTCTGTGAGGTAGGGAAAGTGTTGACAAAATCTGTTTGATGGTTTGTGACAGTTTCATTGCCAGAGAAAGAATTCACTGTGGGTAAGGGGGACTCCAGAGTTCTAAGAGGGGGCTTCAGTGTGGTTTGGGCCTAGAGAATAGCCTGCTGGGAATTCCCCCTGCGCGGGGAGGTTCTCAGGCTGTGGGGTGTCTCAGTTCCCCTGGCTGGCTGTGTTGGCAACTTGGAGGGGCCTGCATTGTTTCAGCCTGGGTGTCAACTTCCTCTTCTTTAAAGAGAAGGTGGCTAGAGGAGGACATGGTCTGCGCTGGGGCTGCCTTTGTGCCATGTTCCTGCCTCTGATCATCATAGAAGCTGGCAGGTGGGCTGGGGACAGAGTGTGGCAGCGTTTAGGGTGAGTGTGTTGTAGTAACATGTTCCTTTGGTTTTTGAACTGTCTGACAATGACAGAGCCACTCATTTGGATGTCACATCTGTCACATCTGCAGGCTGTGGGGGGCCACCACCATTCACTGTCTGTGGGATTGCAGGGCTGCATGGCCCTGTCATGAGAACTCCTGTGGTCAGAAGGCCCCTCAGACTTCCTCCACTGGGCAGAGGTCTTAGCACCTAGACACCTGCCTTCATTTTCTCTGTGTTAACAAATGGTTAAATAAATGTAAAGTTTTTTAATACTGATCCAGATATCTAATCTTGTTAACCCAAATTAGTTTTTATGGTTTTGGAGAATCATATTGACGAAGTAAAAAATCAACCTATTATAGATTATGTTTGTTGTGTATCAGATGGAATTTATTACTATTACTAATAAAACTTTGCTTATAAAAATTAAGGTAAGATTAATGGAAGAAAAGTTCCCCCATTTTCTCATAGTTTTAAATATATATTCTTATAACAAGGTTTTAAATGTATTTGAATGACTCAAGAATGGTGCAAATCTGTCATTTCTTTCTATGTAAATTCTGAAAATGAGAAATAAAAATTGGCAACAGTTGAAAGCTGTTATAAGAAATTGTAGTGAGAAATGGTGACTAAGTACTTAATCCCAGAATATGAAGGAAAAGTATGTTTAAATTAGAAAGTTGCTGATTTGTAAACACATGTGAGTGGTGAGTGCCTAAAATGTGAGCAGGGGACACAGAAAAGAGAAAGTCTCCCCATAGAGGCTCAGACAGGTCGGCGTTCTGAGTGGGGAGTCAGTGCTTCTGTGAGTTATTTATTTTCCATCTCAGATGTTGAAAATGAAGTTTAGAAGTAGGTTACAGATTGTCTTCTATCCAAATCATATGCTCTTAAAAGACCCCCAGCTTCCTCTTCCCTGGCTGTGAATCGTTTGCTAGGATCTGCGTGTGGTCGGTCTCACAGGACAGAGCAGGCTCCGCAGAGACCAGCCCCTGACCTCCACGGCCTTCCTGCAGACAGGCTGCACCTGTTCCCAAGGACACACGGCTCTTCCTAGTTAAATCCATCTAGTCCAGTGGTTCTCCATCTTTGTGTTGCGAAAAGGGCCGTGGCATTAGGAAGGTTGAGAACCACTGTGTCGGTGCCGAGACTGGCTTCTTCATTCTGCACTCCCTGGGTCATAGAAGGCCGTGGACGACTGCCAGCCGCACTCGGTATTTTGTCTTTAGATTTTCAGATTCTACACCTTAATGAGATTCTTTAAATAAATTCAAGAGAAAAGAAAAGAAAAAAATAAATCCCTTTTTCTTTGAAGCTGAAGTTAAATCATTGTGATAAAATGTTGGTGAGAGTCTGTGGGTGGGTTCCTCCCGTGGCGTCTGCTTGGGGACTGGAGAAGTGGGCTTTAGTTCTTTTAGGTTGGTGCTTTTCTCCTTCCTACAGGAGGGCCGTACGTTTGGGTTTTGCTTGATTGTAATTTTAGGTATAGTGTCTTGAGGGTTTCACTTTAAAGATGTCAGGAGGAGACCCTGGGTGTGGTGGATGCTGAGGCCCCCGTGTTGAGCTATGAGATCGTTTCTGAATGCTGGGCTGTGGGGACTGCAGAGAGGGCAGGCCTCTGAGGGTCGAGGTGTGAACAGGTGCATGTGTGCAGGCAACACAGACATAGACACGGAGACGGCAGCCTAAGTAGGATGTAGCAGAGAGTGCTGGCCGGCGTGGCTGTGCACCAGGTGCCGGAGGCTGGCAGGAGGCTTCTGCCTGTCCAGCTGACTACCCGATAGACAGAGAGCACCTCTAGACCCAGGTGTTTCCACTTAGTTTTCATTAACTGAGCATATCGACTAACAAGGAAAATGCTGGTGTTTCTTATTTTTAAAAACGACAGATTTCTATTTTAAAAGCTTAAAAATGTTTAAAATAAAAGCTTTAGAATGTTTCTACAATTTTATAGCAATTGTAAGAAATCAGAGGCTTCTTTATAATACTAATTCTCAAAATGAAAAACAAAAAGCGGGCCTATAGCACAGTGGTTATGGTGCCAGCCACATACACTGAGACTGGCGGTTTGGACCTGGCCCAGCTAAACAACGATGACAACTGCAACAAAACATAGCCAGGCGTTGTGGCAGGCACCTGTAGTCCCAGCTACTTGGGGAAAAAAAAAATAGGAAAAGTGATGTCTTATCAAGTTCCTCTTTCAGAGAGATGAGTCACAGATGATTTATGGTCTTTACCTCAAAACTGTTAACCCACAGAGAATTGAAATGTTTGATCAAGAAATGGCTTAGTTTCCTTCTATTTTATTTCCTAGAGGGTCTTTTCTTTTAAATGTTGATGGATGTTTGTGGAGAGGCTATTCTGATTTTTCGTAGCCCCTAGAGCTCCTTGGCAGGCCTCATCTAAGCCTTTCCACCTAGTATGTGGCCACGAGGCGTCGTGACCCGGAGGACCCAGTGTTCAGGGTGCTTCTGGTTTGGGGTCGCTGATGTTCATAGGCTTTAAAATGTGATAAATTCAAGACAGGAATATTTGAATCGTGAAGAAATGCTTCCGTCTCAGCCAAGATGGGTTCGTTTAACTTTCTCATCTCATGTTGAACGTTGGTAGCTTTCATTTAACTTTGTATACATGTGATTTTGCTGCCCCATCTCGCCCAGCTGTGCACCGCTTGTGACCTAATTGTGATCCACCGTGCATGTCAGGGTGGGGCACTAACTGGAGAGCCTTTACACATAGTGCAGGGAGTCACTGACATCATCTGATGA